CTTATGGGACACAATCAAGGCAGTGCTGAGGGGAAAGTTCATTTCAATCAGTGCTTATGTCAAGAAACTAGAAAAGCACCAAGTAAATCAGCTAACCTTACAACTGAAAGAACTAGAAACTCAACAACAAAGGAGTCCCAAGATTAGTAGGAAAAACGAAATTGTCAAAATACGGGAGGAAATAAACCAAATAGAGACCAAGAGAACTATACATAAGATCAATCAATCAAAAAGCTGGTTCTTTGAGAAAATCAACAAAATAGACTCTCCACTAGCTCAACTAATCAAAAAAAGGAGGGAGAAAATATGCATCAATAGTATCAGAGATGAGAAAGGAGATATAACAACAGATACCTCAGAAATACAAAGAATCATCAGGACCTATTACAAGCAACTATATGCAAACAAATCAGAAAACCTAGAGGAGATGGATAGATTCTTGAACACATACAATCCAGCAAAATTGAATCAAGAAGCAATTAACAATCTAAACAGCCCAATAACATGCACTGAGATTGAATCAGTAATTAAAGCCCTCCCAACCAAGAAAAGTCCTGGACCAGATGGCTTCACAGCTGAATTCTACCAAACATTTCAAGAGGAACTTACCCCAATCTTACACAAGCTTTTTCAAGCAATAGAAAAAGAGGCAATCCTCCCAAGCTCTTTCTATGAAGCTAATATCACCTTAATACCAAAGCCAGAGAGAGAAACAACAGAAAAAGAGAACTACAGACCAATATCCTTGATGAACATAGATGCAAAGATCCTTAATAAAATACTAGCCAATAGGATCCAACAACACATCAGGCAGATCATTCACCCGGACCAGGTGGGATTCATCCCAGGCATGCAGGGATGGTTCAACATTCGCAAAACAATAAATGTGATACACCACATCAATAAATTGAAAAATAAAAACCATATGATCCTCTCTATAGATGCAGAGAAGGCATTTGATAAAATCCAACACCACTTCATGTTAAAAACCCTAAGCAAGATAGGCATAGAAGGAACATTCTACAACATAATCGAAGCAATTTACGAAAAACCCAATGCCAGCATCATACTAAATGGGGAAAGATTGGAAGCTTTTCCGCTAAATTCTGGAACTAGACAGGGATGTCCACTGTCACCGCTACTCTTCAATATAGTTTTGGAAGTCCTAGCCAGAGCTATTAGGCAAGACAAAGCAATTAAAGGTATAGAAATTGGAAATGAAGAATTGAAATTATCACTATTCGCAGATGACATGATTCTCTACATAGGGGAGCCAAAAGACTCAGTCAAGAGACTATTGGAACTCATAAGAGACTTTGGCAGAGTGGCAGGATACAAAATTAATGAACACAAATCGATGGCGCTAGTGTACGCAAATAATTCCACGGCTGAGCAGGAAATTGTAAGTACTGTCCCCTTTAAAATAGAGGAGAGGAATCTTAAATACCTAGGAATTAAGCTAACTAAAGATGTGAAAGACCTCTATGATGAAAACTATAAATCATTTAGGAAGGAAATAGAAGCAGACCTTGAAAAATGGAGAACATTACCATGTTCTTGGATTGGCAGGATCAACATTATCAAAATGACCATATTACCAAAAGCAATATACAGATTCAATGCAATCCCAATCAAAATCCCAACAACATTCTTCTCGGAAATAGAAAAGATGATACAAAAGTTCATTTGGAATCACAAAAGACCACGAATAGCTAAAGCTATCCTGAAAAATAGAAATCAAACTGGAGGACTCACAATTCCAGACCTCAAGACATACTACAGAGCAGTGGTTATCAAAACAGTCTGGTACTGGTACAGAAACAGAGAAGAAGATCAGTGGAACAGAATAGAAACACCAGAAGGAAATCCACACATGTATACTCACCTAATCTTTGACAAGAAAACGGAAAACAATCCAGGTAAAATACCTGGTTTATTCAACAAATGCTGTTGGGACAACTGGATAGCAGCTTGCAGAATAAAGAAGCAAGACCCACACCTGTCGCATTATACAAAAATCAGCTCTAACTGGCTCAAGGACCTAAATTTACACGCAGAAACCATCAAACTATTAAAGGAAAATATAGGAAACACACTCCAAGATATTGGAACAGGGAAAGACTTCTTAGAAAAGACACCCAAAGCAAAGGCAATTAAATCCAAAATGAACAAATGGGACTACATCAAACTAAAAAGCTTCTGTACAGCAAAGGAAACAATTAATAAAGTGAAGAAGCAACCAACAGAATGGGAGAAAATTTTTGCATACTACACAAGTGATAGGGGACTAATATCCAAGATCTACAAAGAGCTTCAGAAACCCAGGGACAGCAAAAACAACAACCCTGTAACAAAATGGGCAAAAGAAATGAACAGACATTTCTCAGAAGAACAGGTTCAAATGGCTAACAGGCATATGAAAAGATGCTCAGGCTCCCTAGCCATCAGAGAGATACAAATGAAAACCACGTTGAGGTACCACCTAACTCCAGTGAGGCTGGCCTACATTCAGAACTCGAATAACAACACCTGCTGGCGTGGATGTGGGGAGAAAGGTACCCTCCTTCACTGCTGGTGGGAGTGTAGGCTAGTACAACCACTATGGAAATTAGTATGGAGAGTGCTGGGAAAATTGCAAATAAACCTGCCATATGACCCAGCTATCCCGCTCCTAGGAATATACCCAAAAGGAGTGAAATCTGCCTGTGAGAAGGGGATCTGTAATTCTATATTTATAGCAGCACAATCTACAATAGCAAAGACATGGAAGCAAACCAGATGTGCGTCCAAGGAAGAGTGGTTAAAGAAACTGTGGTATATCTACTCCATGGAATATTATGCAGCTATTAAGAAAAACAAAATTATTCTATTTACAACCAGGTGGTCCCAACTAGAAACCATTATGCTGAGTGAAATGAGTCAATCACAAAAGAACAAATACCATATATTCTCTCTCATATAAGGAAGCCAACATGGAAAGGGTAACTCCAACAGTCCAATCTATGCTGGTTTTTTGATGTTTTTACTTCAGTTTGGTTGCTTCCAAATAATCTCTATTCTCTAGTAGAATTCATCATGTGCTTATGAAGTATATGATGGCACCATTTTTCCCGAGAGACTTCTGTGTTTCCTTTTTGTCATGCATGTGTTGGCTATTCAGTGGTGTTACTTTTTTTCAGGGTGATATACTTTGTTGTCGATGTTGTTGGTGTTGTTGTTGATGTGGTTGTTATGAATTGATGTCAATCTGAAACAGTAATATTATTTCAACCCCAAACAACCTGTATCTCATGCAATAAGATAATGTGAAGTAATCAAGGAATCAATAATCGATATGAGTAGACTGCTTCTGATCTACATCAAAGAATTGTAAAATTGTAAGGCTCTAAATAAGATGGAAGAATCCACCATGGGGGGGGGAGCGGGTTTTGGGGAGGGGAGGGGGGAATCCCAGTGCCTGTAAAACTGTGTCTCATGATGCAATGTAATAAAATAACAATAATAATAATAATTAAAAAAAAAAGAAAAACAGGAAAAAAAAAAAAAGAACCTCCATCCAGCTAGGGTGTCCCCTTAGCTCCCCATCCGGGCCTGTTCCCAGCCATAGATCACGTGCATGCCAATGGTTGCTCTGACTCAGCTTGGCTCAGATCCTCACCTGTCCCGGCCCCTGCCTTAGACTTTGTGGCTTAGTGTTCCTGGCTCATTCAGACCAGTATGTGCAAGAGCCTAGCTCGGCATGACCTGTGCTCCATCCTGTTCTCTAGTTTCGCTTGTGGGCTAAGGTTTGCTCAGTCCTGCCCAATACAGCCCATTCCATTACCAATTCACACATTAGCCAGCTGTTGGAGCTACTTTGCCCAGTTTGTCTGACCCTCAGGTCTGGACCACGTGTTCACCAGTGGAAGCTATGACTCGCCAGGGGAGTTTCCCAAGTTCCTCCACTTGATCCTCTCCCAGACCCAGTTCTCATACAAGCCATTGGGTTTTAGGCCAGTGCCTGGCGAAGTCTGGCCTTCCATTTGGCCTTATATGAGCTGGTGAATGTTGCAGCCAGGCCCACCCCACACCCTATTTGGGATGCACATTTGGGTGCTGCTGCCTTGACCAATTCAGACTCACCCCGGCCTGGCACCCACCAGCAGCCAGCAGGCTGTCAGAAGTTTCAACCCCCAGGCCCAAGATCACACAGACCTGTTGTTTTTAAAACAAGGCCTCTGTACAGGAGAAATTACTGTTTTTATGCAAATCACCCTAGAATAATTAAAAATAGCCTATCTCTAGTCAGAAACTGTCTCAAGGAAAGAGAAAAGCTAAGAAAAAATATCAACAAAAAAGGTTTGAGAGCTTATCTCCTGGTCCCCTTGGCTCAGCACTTTGATGGCCGTCATCTCTGGCCCCCTTCTGCTTTTGCACTTAGAACTGTTAATACACCTTGTATCAATAATTGCTTGGTTAACTATATAAAATAAAGAATTCCTACTGTTAAACTTACGACCCTCAGGTCTCATTATAATCCCATTCCTGTTAATGACAATGAGCTAAAGGTTTGAATCTAGTTACTGGAAAAGGGAAGAATGTAAAATCAAGTCACAAAATGGAGTCACTTTGGTTCAGCCTGCATAAATTTGCTAACTTGCTCTTTATGCTTCCATAAAAAATGCCTTGCCAGTTTTCTGCTTTGTAGGCCAGATCACTGGGCTAAGATGTCCTGCCAGTCTGTCCTCCAGGCCCGAGCTGGACACCACCAAGTCCAGTGCTTTGCTTGGTGACCAGGGCCAGGTAAGCCCACGGCTTAGGGCCTCAGGGCTCCTGGGTAACGCTGAGATGTGCGGAATTAGATCTCAAGGCTGAAATTCCTTCCAGTGGGCTCCAGACTGGTCCTTGGCATCCTGCTGAACTCTCCCAGGCAGGCAGTAAGCCCCTGAGTCCTAAGCTTCCTGAGTCCTTTCTACCAGAGCCCTTGGGACTGACCAGCTGATGACTTGGTTACCACGGAGATGGCCGGAAGGACCGTTCCACGCTGGCCGGTGGGGGTGGGGGCGCGGCAGGACACAGACATGCTCCACAGCCACCCACAGATGGTCAGGACCTCGTCGGACAGACCGGGGCTGGAGGCACAGCCTCAGACTCCTGAGCCTGCCACGAGGCTGCTCCACCTGCTGTCCAGCACTCCTCAGGCAGAGCAGGGGAACCCCAGAAGCAGTGAGGGGGCTCCAACTCGGGGCCAGCTGCAGAGGTCTCAGAGCGCAAGGCAGATGACAAAGAAGGAACACAGACCCCAGCGACGAAGCAAGAAAGCCCAGAACACCGTGGAGGCCGAGGATGTCTTCGCCCCTAGGAAGCCTTCCTTTCCCTTCCAGTGGGCCTGGGAGAGTTTCATCACCAGAACCTCCACCCCGGCACAGCCCGGCGCCAGCTTGGACCCGAGCGCACCAGGCTTCCCCCAGCTCAGGCACAGGTCGGCCGCCAGCCTCCCAGAGGCCCTGGGCTTCTGCCGGAAGCTGGAGGCACAAAACTTGGAGAAGAGGCAGCAGCCAGGGGGCTGGGGCGCCTCACCTCTCAGCAAAGGGGAAAGCCCAGGGCTGCAGGTGCCCCACGAGAGCACCCTCTGGCCACCCAGAAAGTCAGCCAGACCAGAACTGGAGTGGGCAGAGGCTGAGGAGCCTGAGAGAGACCTGAGCCCTTCAGAGCTGCCCCAGCTGCCCCTGCGGGCCTTGACTCTGGAGGAGGAGCTGTTTTCAGACATGCCCGGGGAGGACGAGGAGGGAGAGCACCAGGCCTCCCAAACGGGGAGGCGGCCTGGTCCTCAGAACAAGGGGCAGAATTGTGGTGAAGAGGCTTCCAGTGAGGGCCATGGCTGTGGACATGGCTCTGGCTCCACCGGCCTCGGTGGGTCACAGAGGAGGAAGGTGAAGGTCAAAGAGCTGCAGGGTCCCTGGGACCTGGAGATGCCACGCAGGCGATTACAGCAGAACCTGGACTGTGGCCCCCAGAAGCAGCCTTGGAAAGCTTTCCAGACTCCTGGCCCCGCCTCTGACCGAAGTGGGAAGGCACACGTTGTGGGAGAGGATGAGATCTTCCCATCAACCAACTTCCCCAATCGCACCTTCCACAAGCGGCAGGAAGCCACCAGGCCAACGCCCGGCTCTCTGTGACCCGTCGCTTCTCCCAGGTGCTGTCTGCCCTGGGACTGGATGAAGAGCAGGTGTTGGCTGAGGCAGGGAAGGGCGAGCCGGAGGGCAGCACTCGGAAACCCAGACCATGCCTGACACGTTATAATCCCCGAGTGCTGAGCAGAGACAGTGGCCGACTTCCTAGGAGAAATGGAGACTGGAGGAGGGGTTTGGGGAGGCTTTTGGCCAGGGCCACCCAGCAAGCCAGTGTGGGGCCCATACAGACCCAGTGGCCTCCATCTATGTCTTTAAGGTGCCACAGGACCCCAGGGGCTGCAGAGGTGTGGGGTGTCGGGAGCGGCGTTTCAGAGCCCCGGTGACTTGAAGTTACGGACCCTCTCAAGAAAAAAAAAACCTCACACATGCAGAAGGGTCAAATTTTCACTGTTTCCCACGGCTCATAGCGACCCAGGATTAACAACCAAAGGCAACTCAGGGAGGATGGGAAGGCAGCGCTCGGGGTCGGCACAGCCCAGCACCCGGCCACGAGGTGGCGCCGCCCCCAGACAGGGAGGCCGGGGACGGGAACTGCTGACTCGGAAAAAGGCCTCGAAGTCCCTCACTGTGGGATTCCGTCGCCTCGAAGCAAAGTGGGCGCCCGAACCGGACGGGGAGCAGTCGGGCAGCCCGCAGCCCACCCACCCTCGGCCGCGCCGGGCAGCACTGCGCATTCGCGAACCCGAGACTTCCCGTGAGCCTTCGGGGCACGCGCCGCCGTGCCCGCCCGACGCCGCCTCCCTCAGCGGCTGGCCGGACGACCCGGAAGCGCTCCCATTTTGCATCGTCGGGGCTCGGCGGCTGCCGGCCGGCTCCCGGCAGACGCTTCGCCAGCACGATGGGCTCGTCCAAGAAGCACCGCGGAGAGAAGGAGGCCGCGGGGACGGCGGCGGTGGCCGGCGCTGGGGGCGCCCCCGAGCAGCCTCCGCGGCACCGCGAGCACAAGAAGCACAAGCACCGGAGTGCGGGCGGCAGCAGCGGCGGCGGCAGCGGCGAACGGCGGAAGCGGAGCCGGGAGCGCGGGGCCGAGCGCGGCAGCGGGCGGCGCGGGGCCGACTCCGAGGCCCGGGGCGGCACGCACGGGCGGGATCGCAGCCAGGCGGAGCCGGCCGAGCGGCGCGTGAAGCGGGAGAAGCGCGATGATGGCTACGAGGCCGCTGCCAGCTCCAAAGCCAGCTCTGGCGATGCCTCATCCCTCAGCATCGAGGAGACCAATAAGCTACGGGCCAAGTTGGGGCTGAAACCCTTGGAAGTCAGTGCCGTCAAGAAGGAGGCGGGCACCAAGGAGGAGCCCGTGACGGCCGATGTCATCAACCCCATGGCCCTGCGCCAGCGCGAGGAGCTGCGGGAGAAGCTGGCAGCTGCCAAGGAGAAGCGCCTGCTCAACCAGAAGCTGGGGAAGATCAAGACACTGGGGGAGGATGACCCCTGGCTGGACGACACTGCCGCCTGGATCGAACGGAGCCGGCAGCTGCAGAAGGAGAAGGATTTGGCAGAGAAGAGGGCTAAACTGCTGGAGGAGATGGACCAGGAGTTTGGTGTCAGCACCCTGGTGGAGGAGGAGTTTGGGCAGAGGCGGCAGGAGCTGTACAGTGCCCGGGACCTGCAGGGCCTCACAGTGGAGCATGCCATTGACTCCTTCCGCGAGGGCGAGACTGTGGTCCTCACCCTCAAGGACAAAGGTGTGCTGCAGGAGGAGGAGGACGTGCTGGTGAACGTGAACCTGGTAGACAAGGAGCGGGCAGAGAAGAACGTGGAGCTACGCAAGAAGAAGCCAGGCTACCTGCCATACACAGACGAGAGCGTGGATGACCTGGCCCAGCAAAAGCCTCGCTCCATCCTGTCCAAGTATGACGAGGAGCTCGAGGGCGAGCGGCCACAGTCCTTCCGCCTGGAGCAGGGCGGCACGGCTGATGGGCTGCGGGAGCGGGAGCTGGAGGAGGTCCGGGCCCGGCTGCGGCTGCAGGCCCAGTCCCTGAGCACCGTGGGGCCCCGCGTGGCCTCGGAGTACCTCACGCCCGAGGAGATGGTGACCTTTAAAAAGACCAAGCGGAGAGTGAAGAAGATCCGTAAGAAGGAGAAGGAGGTGGTGATGCGGGCCGATGACCTGCTGCCCCTCGGGGACCAGAGTCAAGATGGAGACTTCGGGTCCAGATTGCGGGGCCGGGGCCGGCGCCGTGTGCCCGAGACGGAGGAAGAGGCCCCTGAGGAGGAGGCGGCCAAGGAGCCCGTGCCTCAGCTGCCGCCATCAGACGACACCCGTGTGGAGAACATGGACATCAGCGACGAGGAGGAGGGGGACACCCTGCCCCCCGGCTCCCCCGAGGTGCTGGAGGAGGATGAGGCTGAGCTGGAGCTGCAGAAGCAGCTGGAGAAGGGGCGGCGGCTGCGGCAGCTACAGCAGCTACAGCAGTTGCGAGACAGTGGCGAGAAGGTGGTGGAGTTTGTGAAGAAGCTGGAGTCGCGGCAGCGAGGCTGGGAGGAGGATGAGGACCCGGAGCGCAAGGGGGCCATCGTGTTCAATGCTACGTCGGAGTTCTGCCGCACGCTGGGCGAGATCCCCACCTACGGGCTGGCCGGCAACCGGGAGGAGCAGGAGGAGCTCATGGACTTCGAACGAGATGAGGAGCGCTCGGCCAATGGTGGTTCTGAGTCGGACGGGGAGGAGAACCTGGGCTGGAGCACTGTGAACCTGGACGAGGAGAAGCAGCATCAGGATTTCTCAGCCTCCTCCACCACCATCCTGGACGAGGAGCCCATTGTGAACCGGGGCCTGGCTGCCGCTCTGCTTCTGTGCCAGAACAAAGGGCTGCTGGAGACCACGGTGCAGAAGGTAGCCCGGGTGAAAGCCCCCAACAAGTCTCTGCCGTCGGCCGTGTACTGCATCGAGGACAAGATGGCCATCGACGACAAGTACAGCCGGCGGGAGGAGTACCGGGGCTTCACGCAGGACTTCAAGGAGAAGGATGGCTACAAGCCCGATGTGAAGATCGAGTATGTGGACGAGACGGGCCGGAAGCTCACGCCCAAGGAGGCCTTCCGGCAGCTGTCTCACCGCTTCCACGGGAAGGGCTCGGGCAAGATGAAGACGGAGCGGCGGATGAAGAAGCTGGACGAGGAGGCGCTCCTGAAGAAGATGAGCTCCAGCGACACGCCCCTGGGCACGGTGGCGCTGCTGCAGGAGAAGCAGAAGGCCCAGAAGACGCCCTACATCGTGCTCAGCGGCAGCGGCAAGAGCATGAACGCGAACACCATCACCAAGTGAGGCCTGCCTCCTGTTCCGTGCCCAACCCGCCTTTCTTGTTAAATAAAGTTTCCCCCTTATTTTTTCCTAAAAAAAAAAATATATTGAAAGATGTTTTATTGGAAAGGTTTACAGAGAAAATGAGACAATTTCTTATCCACAAGTTCATTTCCCAAACAGCCGCAATGGCCAGAGCTGACCCAGTCCAAAACTAAGAGCTAGGAGCATCTTACAGGTCTCCAACGCAGGTTCAGGATCCCAAGGCTTTGGGCTATCCTCTAGCACTTTCCTAGGCCACAAGGAGAGAGCTGGATGGGAAGCAGAGCAGCCAGGACACAAACTGACACCCAAACAGAATCTCAGTGCTTCCAAGAGGAAGATTAACCAATTGAGCCATCAGAGAAGGCCTATAATTGTGTATTAAAGTAACATTTTGTCATCAGATTCAAAAGCAGCTCCTGGCGCAGTAGTCTAGTGCCTAAGTCCTCACCTTGAAGGCACCAGGATCCCATATGGACGCTGGTTCATGCCCTGGCAGCCCCACTTCCTATCCAGTTCCCTGCTTGTAGCTTGGGAAAGCTGTCGAGGATGGCCCAAAGCCATAGGATCCCACACCCATGTGGGAGAGCCAGAAGAAGCTCCTGGCACCTGGTTCTGGATCAGCTCAGCACCGACCATTGCAGTCACTTGGGGAGTGAATCAGTGGACAGAAGATCTTCCTGTCTCTCTACCTCGCTGTATATTTGACTTTTGCAATAAAAATACATAAATCTTTAAAAAGTTTAAAAAGCTGATTGTTCAAAAATAAAACAAAGAAGTTCAAGTTTTGTGACAAAAACAGAATAGAAATTGTCCTACCATCCCAGTTAAAACAAATGAGCTGGCAGTCAGGCGTTAGACCTTATTCAACACAAGACCAAGTCTCCCAACAAGATTCAAGAAACTCTAAGCCCAAACCCACAACAGGAAGGAAGCTGCACCATGGCACATCGGCAAGTTCCTGAAAAACAGCAATAAGGGAAAATTCCTAAAAGCAGTTGGAAAACAAACCAGAACAAAGATGAAAGTGGCAGATAGCACAGCAACATGTTTAAAGTACTCGGAAGAAAAACTGTTTAGAAGCCTTTCTCGGCGAAATATTAAACGATGATGAAACAGAATCTTTTTCACCCAGAAATGTTCAAAGTGTTCATCACAAACACTCAAAGCAAGAAATGTTAGGGGGTGCCTGCCTTCAGCCAGAAGAAAATGATGCCAGATTGAAATCTGCAACTAAACAAAGGAAGGAAAAACATGCAAGTGGCAAATACATGTGCAAACGTGTATTTGCTTTTCTTGCTTTAAAAGATGTTTGGTAGGCGATATGTTATTAAGGCAAAGAATAAGGTACTGTGTTAAGATTAAATATATGACAAAATCAGGATTAGAATGAAATTGTGCTGCACTGAAGTTCCTATACTGACTGAAGTACTTACAGTGTCAACAGAAAGTAGACCGATTTTAAAAAGGTAAATTGTACATCCTAATGCAACCAAAACAGCTAATGAGCAGTGAATCAACCAGTAAAATAGAAAAAAAACTGAAGCCATTTCATTTTACGGCTAGGATGACTGCCTGCAGGGCAAGAAGCATTTATGGACCCATGAAACGCTGCATCTGGGCTGCACAAAGTCAGCTACAGATCCCAACCTCAGAGACACTGAGAATCTCCTGAGCGAGCACTGTATCATTTAAGAGACAT